AGGAGCAGCAGCAGGAGCAGCAGCAGGAGCAGCAGAAGCTAAAAAGATAGAGATACATTCTCTATCCTGGCAGGCAAAATGGAGAATAATACAACACCATATAATCCCCAACAATATAATCGATATAAAACAAAAATTAAAAAATAAAAATAAAATTATTTTACAAACGTGGGAGGGCTCAGATCTTACGATAACCAAAATAAAAAAAAATAAAAATATAAATAAAAATATAAATATAAATAAAAATATAAATACACAACAAGAAGAACAACAAAACAATCATATACATAAGGACCCTCCTGCTGCTGCTCCTGCTGCTGCTGCTGCTGGCGGTGGTGGTGGTTCTGCTGCTGCTGCTGGTTCTCCTGCAGCAGCAGCAGCACCTGCTGCAGCAGCACCTGCTGCAGCAGCAGCAGCAGCAGCTGCTGCTGCTGCTGCTGCTGAGGATGATGATGAGGATGAATATGAATATATAATAAATGGCGAAGCTAAAATAATTTCTTTTCCTTTTAAAATCGAAACCTTCAATGGAGCGGCATACAAAATTAATAAAGTCAGAAACAACAAACCCTAAACCCTAAACCCTAAACCCTAAACCCTAAACCCTAAAAAATAAACTATAAACAATAAACAATAAACCCTAGAGAATAAACAATGGAGCGGCATACAAAATTAATAAAGTCAGAAAATATAAACCCTAAACCCTAAACCCTAAACCCTAAACCCTAAACCCTAAACCCTAAACCCTAAAAAATAAATAATAAACAATAAACCCTAAACCCTAGACAAGAAACACTAAACCCTACATCCTAGAGAATAAACAATGGAGCGGCGTACAAAATTAATAAAGTCAGAACATATAAACCCTAAACCCTAAACCCTAAACCCTAAACCCTAAACCCTAAAAAATAAATAATAAACAATAAACCCTAGACAAGAAACAATAGACAGTCGACAATAAACAATAAACAATAAACAATAAACCCTTCCCTAATCTATCATATATATATATATATATACATCTATACATATATATATATATATATATATATATATATATATATATATATATATATATATATATATATATATTTATATTTATATATATATATATATAAATATTTTTGTATTAGGTGTTGCTGCCTCCGTCTCTAAGCGAAGAAGATATGAAACCGGCGAAGAAGGAGCTGCGTATACACCCGGAGATAAACACGAGACTAAGAAAGAGAAGAGAAGAGACAGAAACAAAAGAAGAAACAAAAGAAACAGAAAAAAATAAAATAAATAAAAATAATATAAATATAAATGAAGAGGAGAAGATGAGCGAAGAGGGGACCCTCAATATGCCTCGCCCAGCCAGAGACCCCAGGCTCCCTGGTTCGTTTTTTTTGTCTCTTTTTGTCTCTTTTTGTCTCCTTTTGTCTCCTTTCTGTCTCCTTTTTGTCTCTTTTCTGTCTCCTTTCTGTCTCTTCTTTGTCTCCTTTCTGTCTCCTTTCTGTCTCCTCTTCTTGTTTGCTTCTGGTTTCGTTTTTCTATCTTTTTTTGTCTCTTTTTTGTCTCTTTTTTGTCTCCTTTTGTCTCCTTTTGTCTCCTTTTTGTATCCTTTTGTCTCCTTTCTGTCTCCTCTTCTTGTGTGTTGCTGTCTTCGTGTTTTTCTCTTTTTTGTCTCC